AGGATATACAAGGAACTTAAATGTGCTGAAAAGAAAAAGAAAAAAAAAAACAACCCCATCACAAAGTGGGCAAAATATATGAATATACAGTTCTCAAAAGAAGACATATAAGCAGTCAACAGATACATGAAAAAATGCTCAGCCTCACTAGTCATCAAAGAAATGCAAATTAAAACCACACTGAGGTACCACCTAACTCCAGTCAGGATGGCCATCATCAATAACTCAAAAAACAATAGATGCTGGAGAAGATGCGGGGAAAGGAGAACACTTCTACACTGTTGGTGAGAGTGTAAACTAGTACAACCTCTGTGGAAAACAGTGGAGATTCCTAAAATATCTAAAAATTGACCTTCCATACAACCCCGAAATTCCCCTACTGGGAATATACCCAGAGGAACTCAAATCACTCTATGAAAACGATACCTGCATGTGCATGTTTATTGTAGCATCGTTCACAATAGCAAAAACACGGAACCACTGTGCTTCCTATCAAAAGAGGACTGGATTTAAAAAAATGTGTACATATACACAATGGAATATTATGTAGCCATAAAGAAGGACGAAATTATGAACTTCACAACAACTTGGATGGAATCAGAGTCTATAATACTGAGTAATCTCTCACAGAAACAAAGAACTGAGTATCACATGTTCTCACTCATAAGCGGATCTTGAACAATTATCGTAATACTATAAGAAAGAGATTGGCAGAAGTAGGAAACTGCCTGGGGGCCAAGGGCAGGGAGGCGGGATTGGCAATAGTGGGAATCTACTGGGTAATGAGGGAGGCACACCTCAATAACAAGGTTACCTGCATAATGAACACTTGTATACCTAACCCTGAATTGTACCCCACATCTTTAAAATAAAAAAGTTTTTTAAATGAGCAACATACTTAGACATTTATCTGAGAAAGATATACAAAGTCAATCAATATACTCTTCAAATACATACATTAAACATATTTCCTGCTGACTTGTCTAAAATACAATTGCATATCATTCTATTTTGACCCTCTGTTAACAATGATCTGTTAAAATTGTCTCTTGTATGAAGAATAATGATGAATATATACATAATTTTACTCTGACACCAGTCTGCTTTCCTGAATGTATCTCTCACAATATTTCATATTATTTTCAGCTTTTAAATGGGTATAGATCTATGCTCTACAATTTGTTTTATGTGTTTGCCTTTATTTGTTAATGTAATGTCTCGGCTTGAAACTTTTTTATTACATTTTTCACTCAATTCACTCCAAGTTACATTTTAAGACTCAAATTCAATAAAATGTATGAAAAGGCAAAACAGATCTTTGATAACAATCAAGAATAAATCAAGTTACCTGGAGTGGCTCCTTGGAAATTCTTGTCCCTAAAAAAAGTATTTAAATTTCATTCAAACTTAAAGGTTACTATAAAATATTGGTGAACAGGAGTAACATTCATTACGTAGCTTTAGTAGTAATAGTATCACTATTTTATTTATAATCAGAATAATTCCAACTCCTCTACTTCAGTTACAGGCCTTGCCAGACAACAGATGGTATAAAAGATAATTACTCTTCTTTCCTACATCTTAAGAAACCTCTTTCTCTCAGGTTCACTTGATCTAATTTCTAATGAACTCAGAATCAACCTTCTCTGCATGTGACTCAAGACCAGTTATTTTTTAGTCCTTATTTTTGGGAGACTTCTTTCCTCTAAAAGTCAGAGAACTTTCTGAACCCTGTACTTCAGGTCTGAGACCAACTTGCTCCTGGGTAAAGAAGCCTGGGATTTAGAAGGATAATGATACCCTAGGGAATAATGATGCTCTGTGATCAGTCTAGGCTTTAAAGAAAGTCCAATGACTTTTTCTATTAATATCTATGTGTGCTAAAATTTTTGGTAAAAAAACAGGTTAATAAAATCACCTCACTCAGATGCCACTCCAGTATTTAGCTTTATGCAGGTAAGTTTCTTTCATTACAAAATAGGATCTGAGGGTGGATAAGGCTGTCATTGTGGTTTGTTTCAGGAAAAATTTATCGAATAGGGTTTTAAAATCTGGTTTTATTTAATAATTCTTTTGTTCATATTTTTGCTGTTTTTATTAAAAATGCTAGATTAATATGACATAGCTTACATATTTTGGTAGCAAATTAAGTAATATATTCTTGTATTTCTGGCTCTCCCAAAATTAATGACATAAGCAAGTTTGTAACCAGGTTTTCTGAATTCTAGTCAACTGGATATCAATTATTGATAATGTTCCCTGATTTGTTGGACATTAAAAATAATGATTTATGCCAATGTACACTTGGTCTCTGTGAAAACGTGGTGGGTCATTGAGTCATGCAGAAAGCAGGGGAAAGACAAGATACTCATATGACTTGAAAAAATTTAGTATCTGGTTTATTTGCCCAGAAGCTCAGTTTTCTCTTAGTTAAGGAAAAGGACACATCAAGCTCCCTTTTGCCATATTGCCTCTGTTGGAGATAGCACATCCTTTCTTCCATTTTCACCCAGTCAGTAAGAATGAGACAACCCCTTATGTGACAGCAGTCAGATTATTTTAAATTGCTAAGGGTCATCAAGCTCATAGTCTCTTGTACCTTATATAAATTGGGTTTAAGGAAATCTAGATGATTGTATCTCCCCCATTAAATCCACACATACTCAGAAAGCCCTAAGGAAGAGTAAGCATTACAAATATTTATTTATTTATCTATTTACTTATTTATTTATTTTCTTAATTATATGCTTAGTAGTCAGGATTGGTAAGAAAATCATATTTCTGATTTTAAGCCCTTGATTTTAACCACTTGCTATTCAGCTATTCACTAAGCAAGTAATCTAATAAAGACATTATCATGAAGTGGGTGAAGATAAGTATAATATTTATTTTTGCTTTTTGACTATTATAAATGATTAAATGATTAAGAAAATACAGATAGTTTCATCTTACAAGATCTCTTTATCTTTTAGCATCCATAATTTCTGTCAACAATTTAAAAGATTGTCTATATACTTTAACACAACCTCCAAAAATCACATGTAAGCATCAAAGGAAAATTTTTTCAGAACAATGTTTATTGCATTAACCCATATATATAGCAATGTTGGCCGCAGTCTACTCATTATTGTTGCAGTATCAAAACAGAGATCTCAGTATCCTTTTTTTCTTAAATATAAGTATTATTTACCACAAATTCTTTTTCTACTTCCAAGCATGTCCTTCATGTGAAATTGAAACAACTGCTTATCTGACATTCTTCAAGAAACTGCCTTTCAGAGAGAAACAGAAACAGATATTTTTTTCACTGCTGTTCATCAGTGTTGTCTTTTTCAAAGTGTGTGGAAGTAACCAGATAGAGAATATCACTTTTCAGGAGAAATTGGGATCAATGTTTAGGCATGGACTGATTGGAACAAAATTAGAAATGGTTCAAAAATTAGAATGTGATAAATTAAAATGAGACTAAAATGGGAAAACAAGGTCTTGTTAAGTGTATCTGAATCTCCCTAAAATGACCATGAGCCAAAATCTGGAAAGATCATAGAACTAGGGAAGTAGTAAAAGATCCATTATATTCAATGGATCTTCAGGACTCAAACCACAGCTAATATATCACAGTCTAGTGTAAAGTTACTATAAAAAGTAAATTTGAAGTCCATTATACAAAGCAGAATATGAAATCTTACCAAGAGTCCAAGGAGTCTAATGATCTACTGACTTCTAACCTCTGTGAAAGCACACATACATACCCCCCACACTTTCATGCTAATCTAGTTTCAGGGTATGCCTAAACTAGATAGTTCTGCTTTTGATTATATACTGTCCTATATCATTTATATCTATTTGTTTGTTTGTTTAGAGTCTGAGATTCATTCTGTTGCCCAGGCTGATGTGCAGTGGCACCACCGTGGCTCATTACAGTCTCTATCTCCTAGACCCAGGCAGTCCTTCTGTCTTAGCCTCTTAAGTAGCTGGGTCTACAAACGTGTGCCACCATGTTCAGCTAATTTTTTTTTTTTTTTTTTTTTTTTACTTTTTGTAGAGTCAAGGTCTCACTATGCTGCCCAGGCTGGTCTGAAACTCCTGGGCTCAAGCATTCCACCCTCCTCAGCACCTCAAAGTGCTGGGATTACAGGCATAAGCCACTAAGCCTGGGCTATCCTATCCTATTTAGATTGTCAATTTTTCTTGAATACGGTATCTTTGTTTTCTTCTTCCTTTTTAAAAATCTTCCAAGCCTTGGAATAAAACATCCTCTATAGTCCACGTTTTTAATTTACTCAACACATCTACCCTAAATATAAAGGGTTTTAAATTTACTCAGGGAATCACTTCCCCTGGCTGTCTCTGAAAGGAAATTGTACTCTTATAGTCTCTTCTAAGGACCTCACTTAGTGGCCTGAAAAATATTCGATTATTCAATATTTTGATGAAGGATTGAATTAATATAACACAACTAAAACTGTCCTTTAACAAACCCCATTTGAAAACACATGAAAAGGACTCAGAGATAAATAACTCACATTCTAGGAGCAGTGTGGCTAATAGTGAAGACTTTCATAAGATTATGTACTTAACACACACATGGCAACAGAAAGAGGTTTCATTCAAGAGAATTTCTAAGTCTGGAGAAATCATCTGGCCTCTAGAAATATATAAAGAAGGAATATCTAATTGTATTTTTTTGGAAAAACTAGTGTAGAGGTCATCATGAAAGACACAAAAGATCAGTGCTCCATGTCATAGTTTGCATTTCACAAGAGTTAAGTCAGAAATACTGAAATGTTCACTTTAAAAAAAAACTCTTGCAATGGCTCCTGTGAAGCTTCTGCTATCATGACATATATTGCATAACCTCAGGATAATTTGGCTAAGCTGTTATTCAATATGCACAATATGTTTGCATGACAGTGAGAGCTGAGGCGTTTTCACTTTTCACCCAAATTCTCTTCCGCAGGTTTTAGAATCGGTGGTGAGAAGACAGAATACCAACCTCAATGGCATCCATCAACGTGTCATATTTGAACCCCAGAACTGTAACCTTGATTGGCATTCCTGGACTAGAACATGTGCAGTTTTTGATTGGGTTTCCTTTTTTTGCTGTGTGCCTAGTGGCTCTTCTGGGAAATATCCTTTTACTGATCATCATCCCTGCAGAACGTATTTTGCACCAGCCCATGTACATCTTCCTGGCTGTGCTGGCAGCAACTGACATAGGACTCTGTGCAGCCATTGCTCCCAAGATGTTGGCCATCTTTTGGTTCAGATCTTGCTCCATGACCTTTGATGCCTGCCTGGCGCAGCTTTTTTTCATCCATGCCTTGCAGTGCATGGAGTCTGGCATTCTGTTAGCCATGGCCTTTGACTGCTACATTGCCATCTGTGATCCTTTGAGGCATGCATCCATCCTCACACCTTCCATCTTGCTTCGCTTGATTGTGGTAGTGGCAATCCGAGCTACAGTGCTGGTTGGTCTGTTACCCATTCTAATAAAAAGACTGCATGCTTTCCATTCTGTTCATATTGCCCACTCTTACTGTAAGCACATGGCAGTGGTCAAACTGGCTGTGGAAGACATCCAAGTCAATAAAGCCTGCGGACTTTTCGTGGGCTTTAGCATTCTGGGATTTGATATGATTTTAATCCTTGTATCCTATATTCTGATTATCCAAGCTGTTTTTCGTCTACACTGGAAGGAGGCACAGCTCAAAGCATTTAACACATGCACAGCTCATATTTTTGTTTTCCTTGAGTTTTATATTCTTGCCTTTTTCTCCTTCTGCAGTCACCGTTTTGGACATGTTGCCCCCTCTACCCACATTCTTTTGTCTACCATTTACCTCCTTGTGCCACCTGCACTCAACCCTGTTGTCTATGGTATAAAAAATAAGGTAATTCGAAATCGTGTGGCACAGATTTTTCTTCTGAATTATGGATCCCAGTAGTGATCTATTGAACATTTATAACCATGTAGAAAATGCTTTTATTTCCTAGAGGTGGAGACTGTTTGAACTGTGTGTGTTTACTGTTGTGGTTTCACATCATCATGCTGGATCTCAGAGACAACAATTTTCAAAACTACATCTTGGTTGACATAAAAAGTATTCAGGATAAGATGAATATTAACTCTTTACCTCTAATATGTTTGGCTTCTAACTTCATCTTAATCATTTATTTCCTTTTATTTTATTGGCATTTCATTTACAGTTCTTTTTATTGAGGTAAGGAAGCTTTTTTACTGATTTTAATTTTTTTCTTTTGAAATATATGCATTTTCATCTTAATTTTTATCTATTTTATACATTTTGACATTTTTATGCTTATTCTTATTCAATTAAAAATAAGATAAATATTTAGCATCATTTCTGCCTTAACTCATGACATATTAAAATATATACTGCTTGATTCCTAAATATTTAAGATTTTTTAATAAACTTTTGTTGTCTGATTTAATTTTATTGTAGTCAGGAAATACCTTTTATAATATTAAATATTTGAAATATATTAAGATTTGCTTTTTGGTCCAGTATAAGACCTATCTTGCATGTCCTTGAAATACATGTTCATTAACTGCTGGTTTGCTCTGGTGCTATATATACCAATTTTCTATATATACCTTGAGAAGTAAGACAAAGAGGATAAAATTAAACATAAATAAATTGAAAGATGAAAATGATAATGGAAGAATAAGAATCAGTTAAATATAACAAATGATAGGGAAAAACTACAAAGCCAGAAAAAGAGAGGGAGAGAAAGAAAGCAAAAACACAAATCACTGACATAAAGAAAGAAGACATATTGCTACAGAATACATATATCAACACATCAAAATCAAATTATTGCAAATAAATCTAGGCCATTGAATTCAACAATGTAAATAAAGTAGGCACAAATTCCTAAAGGCATAAATCTCAAAAAGTTGAAAAGACATATAAAATCTAAATACCCCTATTACTTACTATTAACCAACTGAATCTTTTATATTAAAATATATTAATCCATAGACATTTTCACTTGGGAATTATATCAAACATTTAAACAAAAATTAATATTAATCTCAAAACAAACTTTTTTTCTAAGAGATACAGGAGGAATAATAGCTCCTAGGTCATATCATGAGGTTGGCATAGCTCTAATTACAAAAGCTGTTAATAATATAAAACCCAGCCAGGCTCGGTGGCTCAGCCTGTAATCCCACGCCTTTGGGAGGCTGAGGTGAGTGGATTGCCTGAGTCCTCAGGTTCGAGACCTACCTGGGCAGCGAGACCTCATCTCTACAATAAATTAAAAAAAAAAAAAATCAGCTGGGCATGGTAGCGCATGCCTGTAATTCTGGCTACTTGGAAGGCTGAGGCGGAAGGATTGCTGGAACCCAGCAGGTCGAGGCTGTGGTGGCCGGGAGCAGCCCACTGCACTCCAGTCTGGGTGACAGAGTGAGACTCCAACTCACTCTGGGTATATATATACCCATGTTTGTCACAAAAAATAGACACAACATATCTAATAACATTGAGAAAGTGAATCCAGAAAAAAATTATATGTTACAAATCAAGTGAACTTTATGTAGGAATGAAATATTTCTGAGACATTTAACATTTTAACAATATTAAACCAAATTTAAAAAGATATTTAAGAAAAAACATATAACCATCTCAGTATATTCAAAATTAGTAACAAAGTCAAGAGAGCAAGAATGAATTCAGAAGAGTATCCATGAAAAGTCTATGACTGACTTTGTAGTTCATGATGGAACTTTGAACACGTTTCCTTAAATTTAGGAATAATTCTAGAGTCTGCTTCTACCACTTCCAGCACATATTATTTGAGCTCTTAGCCAATACATAGAAAACAGTCCTGTTTTCTATTTGCAAATGACAGTTTTTCCCAACTTAATAATTGCTAAGTAATTTACCAAAAGAAAAAGAGCAAGATAGAAGAGTATTAGAGGACTAGGGCTTGTGGCTCACTTTTGTAATCCCAGTGCTTTGGGAAATGGGGGACTGTGGGTGGTGATTACTTGAGCCCAGGAGTTTGATATCAGCCTAGGTAACATAGCAAGACGTCATCTCTACAAAAATTTAAAAAATTAACTGGGCTTGGTTACATGCACCTGTAATCCCAGCTACCTGGGAGTCTGAGGTGGAAGGATTGCCAAAGCCCAGGAGTTTGAGCCTACAGTGAGCCGTGATTGTGCCACTGCACTCCAGCCTGGGCAAGAGTGAGACACCAACAAGAAATAAAGGGGGTGGGGAGAGAATTAGCACTAGTCAATAAATTAGGAGTACACAAGATTTTTTATATATTAAAATTTAGAAGAAGAAATGATAAATGCCAGGATAAAATTGTTTTTCTCCTAAGATGGTTATATTGTCTTTGCTAGAAAGAAAACCCATGGAGCACGTTAATGATATCAAGAGCTATTTTTAGGCTTTGTTAGATAATACCTTTAAATTTTGTTCTTACTCTTATCAAGTAGCCCTTACTCTTAGAAAATGATTCTCACTGGAAGAATAAGAATTTCTCAGGTTCATAATTCGAAGCATGTTCCTGTACACACTATCTTCCCAGTAAAGACTGCATGCTGAAGTCTTTAGCTTTGTAACTCCTGTTTTCTGTTGTATTTCTTGGATATTTCTTCACCCTTGAACCACTTGGGAGCTGGTCAATAATGTCTGGAATGGTGGGGTGCTACTACAAAGCTCACTTCTTTATGGTTTTCTTGTCTTTAGCCCTTGCTTGTCAATATTCTCACTACTTTGCAACCTTTGATTCTGACCTCTTCAGTTCATGAAGAATACTTCTACCTTTGTGACTTTATTTTCCCATATTCATAATTAGAATCATTTTTAGAGAGGAACTGGAAAAATTCAGAACTACTCCTCTGTTCTTCCCTTCTCTCAAAAATCAGCTCCTCACTTATTAGTGCCTACCTTGATTGCTTTTCAATGCCTTCAAACATTTTCCCCTATAGATTGTCAAAATTTTACAAGATTTTTTAACGATAGGTTTAATAGCATATCAATTCCACACTTTGCCTGGAATCTTAATCTTTATAGTCAAGGCAAATGTAGAGAAGAATAACAAAACTGGAAAATGTATGCTATTAGATAAAAAGACATACAGCATCACAGGACATTCTCAACATTCCAAATACCTTTGAGATTGTACTTTTAATTTTAAAAATTGTCTGGAGCCGGGCTCGGTGGCTCAGCCTGTAGTCCCACGCCTTTGAGAGGCTGAGGTGAATGGATTGTCTGAGCCCGCGGGTTCGAGACCCACCTGGGCAAAACTTGGCGAGACCTCATCTCTACTATAAATCAAAAATTAGCCGGGCATGGCAGCACATGCCTGTAGTTCCAGCTACTTGGAAGGCTGAGGTGGAAGGATCGCCGGAGACCAGCAGGCGAGGCTGCGGTGGCCGGGAGCGGCTGCTGCACTCCAGTCTGGGCGACCGAGTGAGACTCCAACTCAAAAAAAAAAAAATTTTGGAAAGTAAAAGATCAATGCAGAATAGAGTCTTGGTGATGCAAGAGGTTTCTCTTAATAGATATTTTACTTTTCTATACAGATTTACATTCTACTTTCCCTGACCATTTGAAACCAAAGCTGCTAATCAGCAAGGAATACCATGAATTCCCCAACTTAATTTTATCAAATCTGAGGTCTGTGCAAATTATTGTAAGTTATGACATGTTGTTGTGATTATTTTTTTCTAACCCCAATCTACTCTAAGAAGGCACTCTTCATACTAGTAATATGATTTTTTAATCATGGTTTAGCTGCACACGTGCACTGTATTATAACTGTCTGTCTTTAGATGACTGATCAAACCAAACTAACTTCTAGCAGGCCTCATTATGTTTTTGCACATTCCACTCTATAGTTCTAATCTTTATGCCATTATATTATGATTTCTCTTTGTGGATGTTTATCAAGGATTATCCAATGGCATACCAAATAACAACCTGATCAATAAAAAACAAAAGTTATATCTCTATAACCATTTTTTTTTGAGTCGGAGTCTCATTCTGTCGCCCAGACTTGGAGTGCAGTGGCCGCTCCCGGCCACTGCAGCCTCAACCTGCTGGGCTCCAGAGATCCTTCCGCCTTAGCCTTCTGAGTGCCAGGATAACAGGCACGCGCTACCACGCCCGGTTGATTTTTTGATTTATTGTAGAGATGAGGTTTCATCAAGTTGCCCAGGCGGGTCTCAAACCCTCAGGCTCAGGCAATTCACTCACCTCGGCCTCCCAAAGAACGGGATTACAGGCTGAGCCACAGAGCCCGGCCCTCTATAACCATTTTAACAGTGATAAAATTCTCCATCTATCCCACAACAGCTGGAGGAAATTATTAATGTATTACCCAGTAATACAACTTTCAGTGCTGCAAATCTTAGTGCTACATGATTAAAGGACAAAATTATTAACTTTGCACCAACTTGGATGGACTTAGAGTCTATAATACTAAATGATCTATCATAGAAACAAAGAACTGAGTATCACATGTTCTCACTCATAAGGAGAACTTGAACAACTATCATAATACTATAAGAAAGGGATTGGAAATAGTGGGAAACTGCCGGGAGTGGGGTGAGGTGGGGCATACCTCATCAACAAGGGTACCTGTTAAATGAACATTTGTATATCTAACCCTGAGTTGTAACCCACATATTTAAAATAAAATTTTTTTAAAAAACTCAAATAAACCAACAACAACAACAACAAAATTATCAGTGAGTTTCTAAGCAAAGTATGCATTTAGTCTCACATGAAAAGTGACTTAATTCTAAAAAGTAATTACACAATTTCTTATAATACCTTTCCGTTTACATGTATTATATATTACATATGTTTTATACACATAAATATTGCCAATGAAGTGGTGCGAAGTGGTGTCAAAGTGTAGCAAAGAAAAAAATGATGCATGCTCAAAGTGGTCTAAGCTACAGGGAAGTCTGCAGTATCTTGCCAATGAGGAGACAAAAAATGTTATTTTTTGAAAACGACAAAGTTCTGTAAGGGTTCAAAGAATTTTTGTAGTGGTGATAGTGGCAGTAATAGTAGTTAAAGTAGCTATGTGCTGCAGCCTTAATAATATTTTGCAAAGATTAAAAACACTATTTTGTTTCTTTGTGCTAAAAGCCTGGCCATAGACCAGAAAGTTGACCAAATAACTGTCTTTTGTCTTTCCAGTTTACAAATTCTCCATTTCTTAGAATTTCTTTTCTCATATTTTAAATGATCCCAGATCGATCATGATCTGAAAGAGGCCCATGATTTAATATTTTCTGATTTTCCTTGGAAACATCTTCTGATTGAATGTTTTCTGGCTATGTATCTTCATGCAGTGGATGTTTCTCCTATAAACTGGGCATGAGTCTCAGAAAGGTAATGACCTCCCTGGGGTCCAGTCTGTTGCACCACCCAGACTATAAGAAAAACCAAGAAAAGAAACAGCAAAAGGCAGATGATGAAAAATACTTAGCTATAATATATTCCTGAATCCAAAATCTGGCAGAAATGAGCTGTTATGTCTACTGTTTTTATGCTCCAATCTGCTGTTTATTTGTGTAAGTTTCTCCTCTATATGATGTTTTAAGATCAATATATGGGTAAGGGTTTCAAACTGCAGCAAAATTTAAGAGGAAGTAAAAAGGTTAGAAAATCAGATGATCTTAATCTTGGATCTCTCAGTAAAAAATTTTCCTTTGTCATGGTCATCTTTTACTAGCCCCAAAGTAGTTTTGTTTTCTTGTTTTATGAACCGTATAAGAAATGGACTAGATTCAGGCCATTTAGAGATGGGAGAAATGCAAAGATAACTTAGTTCCTCCTTCTCAATTGCAAGTGAAAACAATTGAATGGGCACACTTCAGTAAATTAGTGGCAAGATCAGGGTGAGACTAAAATTTCAAGACTCTCTTCCAATTTACATAAAAAGTAGAAAAGTAGTTCTAACATTGCTTGATTTATTACATTTTTAAAAATAAAAATATTACAGTCTTTAGTTTGGAAGGTGTGTGTATGTTTGTATGTGTGTGTGCATACACATGTGTCTCTCTGTCTGTCTGTGTCTATGTGGTCTGAGCAGGAAAACTTGAAAAAGAAATGAAAGAAGGTGAAAGGTGCATCCTATTGTCTCTAGTAGCTGTGTCATCTGGTCCTACTGCCATAGTGACTGCAGCTCATATTCTAAACTTGGAAACCCAGTCTTCTCTGCATCAGGGACATTAACACCTTGTAGTTTTTTCTCTTGTCTTATGCTTCACTTCACCTACATTTTAAAAAAATCCTCTTATTTCTTTATCCTTCTCTTCCATCCAGAGACCAGGAATGAACATTTTTTTTCATTTGATCATCATAGAAAGCAAAGTGACACAAAATGCATGCCTTTGCAGTCACAGAATCTTTTTTTTTTTTTTTTTGAGTTGGAGTCTCTGTTGCCCAGGCTGGAGTGCAGTGGCACACTCATGGCCAGCTCCAGCGATTCTTCCTCCTCAGCCTTCCAGCCTTCCAAGTAGCCAGAATTATAGGCACACACTACCATGCTCGGCTATTTATTTATTTATTTATATTTATATTTATAGATTTTTTGAGTTGGAGTCTCACTCCGTCGCCCCGACTGGAGTGCAGTGGCCACTCCAGGCCACCACAGCCTCGACCTGCTGGGCTCCGGTGATCCTTCCGCCTCAGTCTTCCAAGTAGCTGGAACTACAGGTGTGCTACCACGCCCGGCTAATTTTTTGTTTTACTGTAGAGATGAGGTCTCACCAAGTTGCTCAGGCGGGTCTCAAACCCGCGGGCTCAGGCAATCCACTCCCCTCAGCCTCCCAAAGCACGAGATTACAGGCTAAGCCATGAGGTCTCTTCAAGTTGCCTGGGCTGGTATCGAACCTGTGGGTACAGGCAATCCACTCGTCTCGGCCTCCCAAAATGCTGGGATTACAGACTGAGTCACCGAACCTGACCACAGAAGCAATTTTTAACATAAACTCTTTTAAAAATGTTTTTCCTATCTCCCTACCAAAACGTGAAAGACTGACATGATTTTATCTCAGGTCAACTGGTCAAATTAGTTTAAGTAAAGTGGAATTTATTGACTTCACCAAGGTCTGTATGTGATTGGGATGTCAATTCTCTATTGTGACAGTGATCATTTGTTCTGCTTACATTCATATGCAATCTTACAGATCTGACTGAGCAAACTCATGCACCTCCAGAATGGAGTTTTTATCAATTCTTTCTTCATATTTTTTTAATTTGTGTTTTGTTTTTCATTTTCTCATGAAACCAATAATGCATTTTTATCTTTACAGAAGTTCACCACAGGCTCTGGAAAGCACTACATACCAAAATACTTACTCTTTGCCATACTTTCCAGTTTACAAATTCTCCATTCCTCAGATTTTCTTTTTTCCACACAACAAATGATCCAAGGTCCATTTTGCTCTGAAAGATATTTGATATTTTCTGGCTTCCCTTCCTTGGAAACAACTTCTCATGAGGACTGAGTGCTTTCTGGTTATACACCTCTATAAATGTGTTTCATATATAATTTTATATAGTTCTCCCAATAACCCAATGAGTTCAGCAATATTATCTGCCTTCCCCATTTATAGTGAGGTAAACAGTAGAACCAGTATTATGTTACATTTTATATTTCTAAATTCATATCCCATGATTTCATATACTATGCTGTATAGAAGAAAACTAATGTGATTAAGAAATTATCACCTAGTATAGTGAGACTGGAGCTGATTTTTACCTTTATCCTTAGATTGCCAAGCAATTTATAATTATCTAAGATGTATGATATATTGCAGCTCCTTTAAGCTCTGCCTTTAATGGCTTTATCAGCAATCGCTTTTAGGGGCTCTACTACTTTCTATACCTGTCCTCATTCCATATAAACATCAAAATAAATTTATTCTCATAAAATTTCGAATTGTCTTAATCTATATTTCATCATCTCTTTGGCCACAATCTACTAAAACTTATACAACAGCATTTCTTATGCTCCAACAACTGACAAAACACTTTATATTGTATTATGGTCGGGACATTCTAGTGATACTCACATATGTATTCCTACTGACCGTGCATCATTTGATTTCTTCTGTTGTTTAACAGAAGTAACCCTTTTAATATTCTTTCAAAGAAAAAAATGTATAAAAATATTATTCGGTGTTATAGTCCCTATTCAGTCAATGTATTTGACTATGGCAATCATAAAGAAGATGAAATAGAACTTTTGTACTTCTGTGTGATTTTAAACTTGTAGAATGGCTAATGAAAAATTTTAAAGTGAGATTTGTATAAGTTTGATTTAAGCTCTAGTTAGTGATTTGCCAAAGAAACAGAAGGCGAACTATAAAAAGATCAGAAGTTAGGGGTAGATGTGAAGATGAACAACATATGTAAAGGTGTCAGAAATTATTTTCACAGCCAGTTGGTAACAATAAAAAAGGCACCTAGGTAAAACTGAGCTTTATTATAAACAGCAGAACTCTTGACATTTTACATCTGAGGCACATTAATATTATCAAAACATTTAAGTTACAGGAGTTATCCAACAGGTAAGGATTTCTGGCATGCTTCTGTCCTAATTTATGGTTCCTTTTAATTCAATTGACCTCTTATCTTCTCAATTTTCTGTCTCCTCTAAGATCTGTGAGTACTTACTTCACCTTCTGCTCTGATCTGCTTGCACATCAACTTTAAAATTTCATGGGTCAAAATTAACTCAGTAAGCAAAAAAGACTACGGGCAAAAGAATAACTCCTTTATATTACCTCCAAGAACCTGAATAATTGACTTGAACATCGATATTTAAACCAATATTTGTTGAAAAAGCAAGTTTTCTCATTTCACCATCTGAGAGTCAATTTTCAAAATGTGAGGGGAAGAATTTCACTTTCTAAACCAAAGGAAACGGAAAGACTGGTAATGCTGCCACTAGCTGAAGATTCTGAGCTTTCAGATAATGTAGGGATATGGACTTCAGGATCTATACTATGACTTCAAGTTTCATGAGGGAATTTTACCTAATCTAAAATGTACCTGGAGACAGGAGATGAACATGGTCCAAAAAGTAATGTTGCCATGAGACACCACCTGAGAAGGCGTTGAAGACTAGCAAAACCAATGCTCTTAAAATCATAGTTTCAATTTTTACCATTTCTAGATGACAAACACTGGATTGTATTCCTCATCCACAAGTACATTGGCTTTGGAAAAAAATATCCAAGAACTGTCTTCTGATATTGGCCTAAATTGATGCCCAAAGATTCAATCGCATAATCACACTTTCATCCATGTTTTTCATGTTCTCAAGGAAGGAGAGTGTCCTTCCTTCCCATCCATGATTTTTATTTGAAGAAGTATCAGAATAAGTAGCAGGAAAAGGATTTATCAACCTAATGGAATCCACCAACATGTCCTATCTGAACCCAAGGACAGTGACTTTGATTGGGATCCCTGGACTAGAGCATGTGCAGTTTTGGATTGGGTTTCCAGTCTTTGGAGTGTGCCTAGTGGCCTTTTTGGGGAACATCTTTTTGTTAATCATTATCACTACAGAACGCAGTCTGCATCAACCTATGTACATCTTCTTGGCAGTATTGGCAGCAACTGACTTAGGTCTCTGTGCAGCTATTGCTCCTAAGATGTTGGCCATCTTCTGGTTTGGCTCTTGCTCCATGGCTTTTGATGCCTGTCTCACCCAACTCTTCTTTATTCATGCCTTGCAAGGCGTGGAATCTGGCATCCTCTTGGCAATGGCCTTTGACCGTTATGTTGCCATCTGTGATCCTTTGAGACACACATCTATCCTCACACCTTTATTTCTATTTTGGGTGGTCCTGATAGTGACAATCCGGGCAATGGTGCTTGTTGGGACTTTGCCCATTCTACTCAAACGACTGCAATTTTTCCACTCTGTGGTTATTGTCCATTCTTACTGTGAGCACATGGCTGTAGTCAAGCTGGCTGTAGAAGATGTCCATATTAACAAATCATATGGGCTCTTTGTGGCTTTTGCAATTCTAGGTTTTGACATGACCTTTGTCTTCATTTCCTACCTTCTGATTTTTCATACTGTTTTCCGTCTTCCCCAGAAAGAGGCACGACTCAAAGCATTCAATACTTGTTCCGCTCATATTGTTGTCTTCCTAGAGTTTTATATCCTTGCCTTTTTTTCTTTCTTCAGCCATCGTTTTGGTCATGTGTCTCCTTATGCCCACATCCTCTTGTCTACCATCTATCTGCTTGTGCCTCCTGCTCTTAACCCTATCGTCTATGGTGTGAAGACCAGGGATATCCGCAGACGGGTTGTTCAAATTTTTATTCAGAAGCCCGACACTCAGCAATAATTAAACAAGTAAAATGTCAGAAAGAAAAAATAAACATTTACCTATTTAAAGCTGAGTTTAAGATGGAAGCTTCTTATACTATAAGCTTCTTATACTGTGGCTATTTTGGTAGATTTTTTCCATTACAATGATTATCCCTAAATATTAATAGTTTATATTACCAAAACAAGCACAGTCTGAACATGAGATATACTTGGTAAAAAGTATGCATGTATCACATAAATTTCTAACATTCCTTTGTCTTTTCCTTTCTTTCTTCCTTCCTTCATCTTTTATTTTTGCATTTTTTTCTTCCATCTTGTTCCATCTTCTTTCTTCCTGTTCACACATCTATTGTATCTTTCTGCAATATCAAAAGGCAGTTTATTTTTGGATGTGCAGCAATAACAAGGACATATTCCATGATTTCAATAATTTACATTGCCTTGATTAAAATATATTGATGATATTTTGTGATATGAAAATATTAAGTAAATCTAATTCATATTATTTAGGCTATTGCTAGGTATATAACATAGATGCAATTTTACATATAAGAAGCAACTAATCTAAATTTTAGAAGAAATAAGACCTTGTAAAGGAAGTCATGACAAATGTAGTATTTCAATAACTAACTTTACTTCTGATGATAAAATGTTGTTTACCACAATTTTACTTTATTTTTGAGTCACTAATTGTCCCTAGAACTCATGTAGATATGAAGAAGTATGGACAGGTATATGTGCATATGACATCCTTGAGTACCCATCATAAAAAGTAGGTTCAGGCCGGGTGGGGGTAGCTCAAGCCTGTAATCCCAGCACTTTGGGAGTCTGAGGCAAGAGGATTGCCTGAGTTCAGGGATTTGAGACCAGCCTGGGCCACTTGGTGAGACCTCAT